TAATCAATACGTTGTAACAATGTCAGTGGTGTAGGTGTTTATTATACAATTAATATATGTAATAATTTAATTATATCGTTGTGACCGTGTGATGATTAACTCAAAATTCTTCGAACTATTGGGCGCAGGTGTGAGCTAAAAATAAAAAATGAGGTATTTTGTATAAGCGAAGCATCGCGCGTGTGCAACACGCCGGGACGCGTTTCATTGACGGGAAAACGACAGTGGCGCCAAGGCTGTTCTGTGCAGCCGTTGCCGCTGTTGGTGGGCGGTTAAGATTATTTGGGCGCTGTTCTGTCGTCCCACGCAACGTTTTTGCATTTTCGCTCGGTCTCTGCGCGTTGTACGTCTTGGCACCACCGTTGCCGCGCGTTCACCGGAAGTCGTCGACCGTGATAATTATTATTACCTGCGTTGTACCTACATGTATAATAATAGTGTTATACGAACGTGTTTTGACGATGACGGTATATGAATATTATACTATCATATAATATAATCGTCATTACCGGAAATTCGGTGGGGTTGAGTGTTGATGAGATAGAGTAGGTGGTTCGTCGTCGTCATAGTTGCCACTTTTCGGCGCGTGCTGTAAATGTTATTCTTACGAAGCGCGCGCGMGCGATTAAAATATTACGCAACGGCTGCAACACCTCTCTCGCGTGTTTCATTCATAATAATATAATAAATACTACGCGGTCCGGAAACGAACACGGCCTACGACCAACAACGACGCGCTGCCGTGCCCACTATGACCTACTCTMTATGTGCGAGCTCACATAGTCATGTGTATCACGAACGTCTGAGTATTTAATAATATGTATGCGCTTCGTACTTATTACGGGTGATGTAGATATCGATCGTTGGTGAAAACKGGTTTCTTAAAAGTTTTGGTTTTATTTTTTGAGACCTTCATGGTAAACTCCTGCCCTGCACTCTAGTTCGTCACCCGAATTACCCGATTAACGTTTATAATTAAAACTTGTTTTGTTTATTGTTGAACTTGATTTTGAAAAAAAAAATAACGACTATAACGTAAAGTTTGTGTGGAACTGTCAATAGAAACTAAACGGGATGTCATGGCATGATCTGTTTCAAAGCTTATAAAGTTATAATATAACGARTGTCGAATGTGTAATATAAGATGGTATTTAGATATTTGCCACATAWAATACAGTTTTACTAAGAGGTTATCTAGTTTTGAGCTCTACTGTGTGAGTATGACAAATTTTTTAAGCCCCTAAGTAAACATTTGTTTTAAAATCGAGTATTAAAATGTTGCGGGTATCAATCTTCAAACTTATTTTGCGTTGCCATAATCTGTTTTATTTCATACTTTTTCATAAATAATTGTTTGACGTCAAGGCCAAAAGTTATATCGGTTACATTATTATGCATTGTGTATATCATATAATTGAAGAATATTGATTTAATAAAATAGTAAGAGAAAAATTCATACCCACAGACCATATAATTCTGCCCACGGTTATTATATATTACATTCATTTTTTATTTTATTTACGGGCGTTTCTGAATGTAAATTATTTTACTATTTTTTTTTTTCGTGAATAATTATTTATAAATCATACATAAATAGACTCTTACATTATGTTTAGCTTATAGTCTTATTAATAAGTAACCTACGACCACCATATCTGTCTTATTTGCTTTCAATGATTTTGATTTTGTCCATTCATCGATTGGAACGGTACAATGCCGTATAATAGATGTCTAATGGATTTACTTTTCAAAGCGTAGTGTGGTTTAAGTGCATTTTTGATTGTCGTAGGGGATTTGAATTTACTATTTAGATATAACAGAAGTTTATAATATTGAATTTATTGTATAATGCTCACTGCCCATTGGGTTTTATACCCACTGTCCGGAGGACCTGTAAATGTTGTTCATAGAGGACTTCATACTCGCTTGCGTTGTCTTTGTGTTTACAAATATGACGACAAATTTTGTTCATCATTTTCAATAACGTGTTGTTAGTTTTTATATAAAAGTGAACTATTAATTAACTATTAGGTAAGAACCTTTTTTTATGTTATCCCGATCGGTTTTTTTTCGATGTTTTAATTTAAAATTGTAATATTAGTAAAATTTTAAAATGCTCGTAACTCAGCAGTCTCGGCTGTTGATAGAATAGGTATACTATATTCTTAGCATAAAAACTGTTGGTACAGTGTTCGATCACTAGATAGCAGCTCATGTTTTACGTTTTCTTTTTTACAACYCGACAATGTWAATTATCTTAAATACATTTTTATGTTATTTAATATGTTATCCACTCAGAATTTAAAAACTACGTTAAATGCCTAAATATGTTTGTATCTTTTAAGTGGACGACACATATATATATTTGCATATCTTMAAATATAATTAAAAGCCCATAAGATGCCCTAGATTGCCTTTAATTTTTATAAAAGGGCAATTTATTCTAAATTTTCAACTAACGAAGCTAAACGTGATCTATCGAGCGTAAAATTTGCTATGCTACGCACTTGTACGACGGAGACAACACATGCGGGTGTGGCGTCCTTTTAAATAAAATAAARCTATAAATATGTATATGGACTTAGTTTAAAAAAAAATTTAAACAAAAYGTGTTTGTCATGGAGATCTTATTATTTTAAAAACAACTTCATTATTCATATTAATTTTCACCGTGTTAACTGAATATAATCAACAGCAGTACTTAATTATTTTTTATTCATCAACTACCATGATCGTTAACAATTTGGAAATATTTCAAAAAAAAAGAAAAATCTGAAAGCTTAGTTAGCTTTAAGTTAATTCAGATTGTTCAATCACTTTATTTAAAAAGCATAATTGAAAAATATAATTAGAAAAAAAATTTATTTGGATATAATATAATATTATAGTGCACCATAGCTTACTACGTTTTTACCAAACTCAATTGTTAGTATGAAATGATAATTCTTTTTGTTTATGTTGTATTTGAATGATAAGAAGATAACAATAAAACACACAAACATTTTAAWTCCACAGCTCAGGCGTGATTGGTAAAAAATGAAGTTTTTCATGTATTATTTCGTATAATGACTATAATGTATGACATAGGCACTTGGAAATAGAAACTCGATCCTCGATAAACCGAGACGATAATATTTGATAAAGTAATGCAGCAAAAAAAATGGGAATTATTGTTAATATCMTATGTTTTTTGTCCTCATATATTAATATCTATGAGTATAATTATCTATAGGTATACATGGAAAGAAAGAGTTGTGATGACTGTGTGAGAGAGTAGTTACCGATAATKATGTCGAAGTGTAACATCGRCAAAGACAGAGATAGACATAGAGAAAGAAATAGAGACGAAGACTAGGCATACAAGAAAAGGGAAACATAAATAATGGGTCCGGTTTTTTATTATTATTATTATATTTTGGGTGTCGCGGGGGCAGCGCGTGTGTATTATTATTATTGTTGTTATTATTATTATAATAGTCCACACGCGCGGCAACGTATATCGCGTTTATGAGAGGAGGGGGCTTGTCAAGCGCGTGTCCTCTGCAGCAAGCCCAGCATTTGGACGGCCGGTAGAGATCGGTCCGTCGCCGCTGCACAGCAGTCTTGTCTCGTGAGCCTCTTACGAGAGACTTGAACGACCGGTGCCGCGCTACTCCAGTCCAGTCGGACGTCGTACGCCGTCAACGCGCGAGTTCTCACCGCCGTGAGTCTGTGGTGATGTGTAGTAACTTAACGATCAAACGATCGATTTTGCGCACGTTCAGCGATGAATTTTGACTGTCATTTGCAGTGAAGAAGTGTTTTATTTTTCGAATCAGATAAAGATTTTTTTTTCAAATCGATTTTATTTAATTCCTAACGATTCGTGAAAATGGCTGAGTTCGATGCGAACAACAATAGTGCGCTGCCTTTACCGGAAAAAGCGCAGGAAAAATACTCTCTACGACCGAGGGCTTCACTAAAACGTGAAGAACCCGACGAGGATCACGAAGACAGTTGGAAACCATCAACTCGCGGTCGATCTACCAAACGGCGTCAGAAGCCTAAGCCTCTCAGCAGGTAAGTCGTATTAAATTATTCTGTCRACTAAATATTTTTTTGTTTTTTGTCTGCGTATTCGGGGTTTTTTGGCCCTGGTTAAGAAAGTTGTAGTTAATTTTTGTGGCTGACGTTAAGATTTCTTTTAGCTTTTTTTTTTTTTTTAAATAAAAAAAACATAACTAGTAGTATCAGCGTCTTAGCGATGATAATATAGGTACCTACATTTTTTTCAATCGATAATTTGCTTGTAGTTTATTTTCTATGCTTCTATCAGATAAGTTTGGTAAAAAAATTTTCGGTTTCATTATTATATTTGATAACGAAAGAATTTTTTAACGTGACTGAAATTTAAAAACAAATATTAGTTCTAAATTTTATTTTTACAAATTCGTTAAAATAATAACTAKAAATAATGAGGATGATAAATGATAATGTTTTCATATTTTCGAAGCATCCTAGACGTATTAATATATTTTTATTGAGATATAAAAATAAATATTTGCATAGAAATATGTTTGCATACTTAATAATATTTTTTATGATTTCTTCATGAGCATAAATGATTTTTTATTGGGAAACTAAATTAATTATTCAAATAAAATTTTCAATTTACCAAATTCAAATAATTTTGTGCTAATACTTAACATATAAATATATTTTTTTGTTATAAAATAACTATAATTTTTAACTTCTTTATGAAAAAAAAAAATCAAATTAATAAAGTAGATAATTATATATTGTTTAAAAATTCCTTATATAACTTTTTTAGTTTGACCTATATCGAAAAAAACTAATCGCCAAATACATTAAGAAACACCGCGCCCGAGGGCGGTGAATTATTACGATCGAATATACATTTACAACTGTAGGAGTAACCAAGGTACTACAGTACCCGTAATAATATGCTTAAATTAGGATCCTCGTAAGATAGGCATCGTTTGCAAATCGGTTTAACGTCGTTATTATATAGTTAAAGTGTTTTTTGTTTAAACTAAAGCCATCATAGTTATAATATTGTTTCCTTCCTTTTTTTATTATATCTGTTTTTTGATGACAAAAATAATACTTTTTAATTTTATTCAACAGACCTGATTTAAAAAAAAATTAATTAATTTGACTCTTATATTAATTGAATGTATTCATTTATCAAGATTAGGTAATGTGATCTTATAATTTTGGGTTTGCTAGAGTTACGCCCTTGGCATGTTATTTATGGATATTGGTTTGATATTTTAAATGAATTCGGGGTGGGCGCATATTAATGCAGCAGCAATATGTGTTTAATTTGTTTTTTTTTACAATCGAATGTTCCAAAGAAATTTTAAGTCGTTTATAAAACCAAAACCCACAAAACACCACTTCGACGCCCTTTCGTAAATAAATATTCGAACATGCTTTGTCACTCGTGTACTATTATTTAAAAAATATGTTGGCTTTCGATTTCTGTGAAAAATTCTAAACCACCGATAGTAGGTACTACATTAACACGCTCGTTTTATTTTACTAGTCATCGTGAATAACATTAAAAAATGAGAATATGTATATTAAATTATGACGATGGTAATTATTAGGATAATCTGACTCATACATAAATTATGTTAATATTTCTCTTTACAAATGTATAGTATGAATAAAAATAGTTTTTTATTGACTATTCAAATTTTTAAAATTTTAAAACCGTTGCATATCGTAAAAGCGTATATACAATACAAGTAGGGTAAAATTTAAAAAAAAAAAACATCACATTAATTTATCAAAAAACATTTTCTCCGTTTACAACTATTAACCAATAACCAATACTATTATATAAATTGCATTAACAAATAAAAAAACTAAATACAATTTTAAAATTTTAATAAACTATTGTAAAATAATAAATAATATTATTATTATAAAACCTACCTCTTTGATTAATGGTTATATGTATGTTTTCTTATTAGATTTATTCATCAATGACATTATATATTTTTATATAATGGCTAGAATATACAAACTGTAGGTTTATACTATAAATATGTATTAATGTAAACTGAATTGAACAAGATGCCCTTAAAAGAAATATAGTTATATATATATATATTATATATTTATATTTATAAAAAGAGTTTAAATGAAATGTGGATATATAAATGAAAAGAAAATTTTCTATTTTTCTCAAGAGTTGGTAAAATCGAAATGTTATTCTGTTTATAAAATTACTTATAGTTAAATTAAAAAAAAATTAACTCAGTTTAATCAATTATGTTAGGAATACTGTGCCGTTTAAAAATATCATTGAGAATCTTTATACCTATATTATAATATATATATATATTAAATCCTTTGTTCTATAAAGTGTAAAACTAGAATTCATAATCGTAAATATTATATGGCCGTTTAAATTAAACACCTACGAAATAAATAATATTCATAACTATATGTCCCCTACCACCTATACCCACCCGTTATAGGAACCTTTAATCGGGCAACACGCATATAAGATTATCACCCAATCTCACCATTCAGMCTTATACGTGTCGGCGTAGAAATAATTTATGAACTGTTGTAGGTATCGGAGGAAGACGGCTAACGCACGCGAGCGGAGCCGTATGCGGGAGATCAACGAAGCGTTCGAAGCGCTCCGCCGTGCCGTACCCCACCTGGCGGTTGACGCGCACAACGAGAAGCTGACCAAGATCACCACACTCCGGCTAGCCATGAAGTACATTTCAGCGCTCAGCGGACTCTTGACCGCGGCGCCAAGCGCCCAGTCTTCGTCATCTCCTAGTACTGCCGCCGAGGCCGCAGCTATTGTCGCGGCCACGACCACCATCTGTGGCGGAGGCATAAGTGGCGGCGGAGGAGGACTCATCGGAACAGCAGCGATGTCGTCTTCTTCGGCGCCGCTACTGACTACCACCGACCACTTGGCCGCGCTTGGTTGCTGTCTGTCGCCTTCGACGTCTGACGATGTGGACTCGCTGCTCAGCGAGTACGCGTCAGACTTACTTTGTGGCGGCGGCGGCGGCGGTAGCGAGTGCAGCTCCTCGGCTGCGTCCACTGTCGGATTCCTCACAGACCACCACCATCATTCTGCCGCGTTCCTGCGTGACTTGCCGGGCGCGGCCGCGACCTATTCGCTATCTCCGTCGTCGTGCTCCACGTCGGCCACCGATGTCGTCGGTTTCCCATCGCCGCTTCTGTCCGCCGACTTCCCGGTGGACGTGGCCGCGGCGTTCATGCCGTTCGCCGACCATCCGCTGCCGCCAATCGACTTCAACGGTGACCCGTACATGTTCGAAGACAACTTCGCGTGCACCGAGTTTAGCTAGACCTCGAACTGTGTCGCGTTCGGGCGTCATCAAGGTGCCATATATTTACGACATGCATATTATTCGTATTCTGAATTAAAATAAGATCATTTTGTACGTTTGCAATTCTGCGCGAAAAATGTGTATTGAATTTTTGTCCATCGAAAATAATATGTGATAATATATTTGATGTTTTGACGTACTGTGCCTACGAGTAGCTGTTWGTATAGTGTACGCGTTCGCTTACTCCCGGTCACGGCTGATGTGCTCAGATCGTCAATTTAATGCGTGTACAAATGTTTTCTCTTCTATTTTCTCTCAAATGTTTTCAACTGTGATATACTGTTCCATCGTACTACATGGCCTGCGTCTGCAGTCGATTTCGGCAACTCCACCGCTCCCCATAATCCGCCCGTATTTCTTACCAGTAAATCGGTTACACGCATTGTAATGACATTATGTGATGTGCGTGTGCGCTCCCGAGTAAATTATTCTATTTGTTTTAAATGAAACGTGTACGTCTATCCCATTCGATGAATAATAATAATAGTAATAAAAAAAAACTGATCTAACGTTTTTAAATCYGACTGGTGAAACTGGTTATTATTTATTCTATATATATATATATATTCCTTTCGGATCCTTTCCTTGGCTCTCTTGTACATAATATTTTACACTTTATACACGTCCTGGAGGAACCATATAACAATCTCTACGCATAATCGCGTTTTTTTTAAATATATAAAAAAAAAACTAAATACTACTTTACGATTTGTCATTGTTTTCACGTACGATGAAAAAAAAAGATAAACAGGTTTATACGATTAGGTTTTTCGACCGATTTCGCGATCGTCCTGATTATAGATCGTTTTTTATAAACATTGCACAGGAAGCACCGCGATGTTATTGTGATATTATATCCGCGTAATTTTTACAGCTGATGATTTATATTGACGGCCAATCTGTCCTGAACTATTATAAGCAAATAAACTCATCCGACCTCCCGTTGAGTCTAAACAAAATAACCGACGTACACGTAGACGTGTTTAAATATTGGCTTAGGATAATATATTTTGTTACAATATATTCTCTGCACACATACACACACACACACACACACACACACTGGCTATGATGTCTGACACCTTTTTATTTTTTTTACCATTTGTTATGTGCAGCTTCATGATGACGTGCACACGTAGTATATATATTTGTTTTTGCGTCCTCTCGCGCAAGTACGGTGTGCACTCGACTTCCATTAGTCCCAATTTTCTGAAACTTGGATAGTTCGCATTGTAAACTGATGGATTTCCCCACGTGTGTTGTACCCGATAAAAAACGGGTAATTCTTTTTTTTTATATTGTCATTTTGTTACCTTTAGTGTTATGACGTCATTTAATGTTTTAACTATACTTTATTATATATGTTGTAGATGATGTATACGCATATAATGATATATTTTTACGTTAAGTTTTGTAAATTAAAATAATATATTATACATGTATATAAAATTGATTTTTTATTATAATATTATTTTTCAATAAATTATTCGTATTTGTAATTTATTATGTGTACTTATAGATTTGTATTCTTCGTTACCTATTATACTCATAAAATTGCATGCATTGAAAAGGAAAATGTCTTCCACGCTAATTATTATATAATAACGAAATACTGCAGTTTGAAGTAAACTTAAAAAAATCTTTACGTCGTCCCTATAATATGACGTTATTATGTAAGACCGGCGTCGTCGGCGATGACAGACGGGGTAATTAATCGCCACGTTGTATAATATAATATACATATTATGAGCACGAAGCCACGAAACCAACGGGYTTTAGGTATACGTCCCCTTCCTTGTTCTTCACTTAGCTTGACCGATTAATCATAATACCATGCGCATTAAACGGTGTAGTATGGTGTAGATATATTGGACGGAAAATTGTTTTAACACCTTTCGCGCGACGAACGTTAAACCACAATAACGAAATACAATGATCGTAATCGTGTTATATATCTCGTCCAACCTCCTCCCATCTCGCAATCCAAGTTTTGCGGGAAACAGGTGACCTTTTACGATTCACGRTACTGTTCGTGTACGCTAAGGGAAACCGTACACTTCTACTTCGTACGGATTGGTCATAAGCATATTAACTTATAAGGTTCGTCGTCGTTTATTACTACAGTTATTATTATTATTTAATTATAATAATCTGGCCATCTTTCAGATTTCTCGTCTCTCTYAGTTTAATGATATACTTGTATAAAAATATATGTTTGGCCGACTTGGTTAAGTAGATTTTGGCCGTTTGATAGATAACTTAGGTCAGTGGGCTGTAACCTTTACAGTCAGTTTGAATACGTAATTAAAGAAAGGATTTTTTTTCTCGATGGTTTAATCAAACAATTTTGGTTAATAAAAAATATTGTCAACATTCTATTTATTTTCTTAYAATAATTTAAAACTATGTACCTATCTATTATTATTTATTAGGCAAAGAAGATGAACAACTAACAACTTTATCTGAATACTCCTTATAAATGTATTCCTTTGTGTGGTCATTCTTGTTGTTTGTTTTTAGAGCGGGGGCAAAGAAACGTACTGAACTTCATTATAAAATAAGTAGTTATACATTTTCTCCCATTTTTTATTTAATAACATAACGTTTAACGTATTTACATTTTGACGAAATTCATTAATATTTGTGTTTATTAAGGTGATTAACTAATTACAAATTTGCTTTTGTTTCGTCATTCCATGATGATTTAATAGCAATTAATATGTGTAATCATTATAATTACGTTAACACTGAAATGCGACAAGTCGATGGTATTTTTACTTAGTTAAAATTAAAGTAATTCTGCTAGTTTAGTAGTATACAAGTATCGATATTTAGCAATCGGAATCGAAATTATTCCCCAGCGGCCCAGCATGTAGTTATAGTATAGTATCATGGTTAAATTTTTTTATTTTAGATATTAATACCCCAAGTTAGAGGGTATCCACACTGGTGGGCTTCCCTCCTCACGTCACTCACGTTATGTTATTCATTATTTACYAAATTTACATATTGTATGTACAAATATTACTGATTGTAAATATTCTATTTTATCTAATAATAATAAAAAAAAGATATTAATTTTACAGTTGTGTAATATTAGTGACATTTATGGAAGTCGCTGCCGCCGGTCACTAGTCCTTCTCTCGGTGAGCAAAACATCGGAAAAAGGGGCGGCGGCGGCGGCGGGGGAGAAAGCGTCTGGCGCCGTCGCGCGTATGTGGGTCGGGCCAATAGGCGAGCGCGATGGGCGTCGTTTTACTCGTGACCACAAGCGACAATCGCTACGGCCGGCCTTGGGGCCGTATAGTATTGTAAAAATAATAGTCGCAGCTGAAAGAAAGATGATCGGCGGAAAAATGTTTTGCTCAAATGGGCGTTTTGTACTTGATAAAAATGTATACATTATACACATACTTACTATTTATAGGTATATTATATATTGCAATATACAAATAATAAGCGTGATGGTTGAATGACAGTTTAAGCGGATCAAGCTTTGATCTGCGTAGTTAGTAGCAATAAGACTTATTTATTGTTATCAATGATCAGTTTATAGTCTTACTGAGTGTGTTATTTTGCGGAGCCCACATTATATTATCGATTTCATTTTAATTAACTCAGTTTACTAGATTTTCGTTTATTCGGTGAACGTTTTTAATGTTATTTTTGATCGAAAAAAAAACTGTTATAATCTCCTTACATTTCATGTTGATTTTGGTATGCTACAGCCGCTACAGGCTACTTGTGATACAAAAATTGATTTGGCATCTTTTAAATAGATCGCTTGTGATTTATACGTCTGTTAAACACATAATATAATATTCACGGAATAAATATAAATAAAGTAAAATAAAAGATCTCTATAGTAGGTTGCTTCTGTTGGATTTTTTCCCTTTAAAAATCGAATTATCCATCACAATCTGTGAGTATTAAATCCAGACCACCCAATATTTTTTTCCAATAGACCAACAAATTAACATCTAGTAAACCGTGGTGTTACGCTCGAATGCCGTTTTGAAGAAATAGTGTGCTGGTGAAATTTTTGTTTACAAACGTATGACATAAGAAATTTGTGTTCAATTCTATCTTGTGTTGTTGGATTTAATATTTGAGTGTATTGACCTATTATTAATCTTATAATGTTAAGAACATGATTTTTTACCGTAGGCGTTTTCACGGTATTTTAATTTTTCTCAATATGTGAGCAATATTTAATTGTAATGTTTTTCGTTCTTATAATTATTAAATATAGCATAAACATTTTTAGAGATGTAATAAATTTTATTCTAAAATAATGCATATAAACATTTTAATATATGCTAATATTCAATATAATAATATTATACTGACTAATGGCATACGCTGTTTAATTCGTAGTTACACATTATATACTACTCATTCGAATTTTCGTATTGCTCTCTTAAATTAGGGACTGGTTACTATTGATGTAAATATGTGATAATATGTAAACAGTTAGGTATCTGGCCAGTGATAACTTAAGTCAAGGTACGCGATTAACATTTAGATTTGGTGCGGACGAGATATTAATTATAAAGACATGGCTGGGTAATTGATGTGTTGGGATTCGTCTCAATTTTATTTCCCGAAACGTATGATTAGTAAAAAGGTAAATTAGTAGTTGTAATGAACAATAATTAGATCCTATTACTATCGATAAAAATGCATATGGTTCGAGTCGGCGAGTTTCAAATATAGGCATCGAAAACGATTACTACTAGGTATTTCGTTTCATCATGCCATACACCGCCTATGTTATTATAATTTGTTGATAGTAGGTACTAGGTAGGTATTTAACAATATCTGACAGTTATTACTGGTGTACGGAAATCGACAAGTCTATAAGCTTATGAATTGCTAACCTAAACCTACATGATGATTTATGAACAAATTATAAATTTTGTTTCTGCCAAATTCGATGAAAAAAAAAAAATAAAAACTTGCAAATAATTTGTTCGTGTAATGGACTTCCCATTTCATTACATTTTTAACAAATAGCACACAAAAATCTGTGTAATGTCGTACGTGCACGAAATTACATTTTATTTATCATATAGAATCAGAATAATTAATTCGTGTTTCAATTGTTGGTAGGTATACTTATTCAATTTGATTAGTACCAGGTATTCAATAATTTGTTTACTAGTGGCATTGGGCTTTATGTCAATGTATAATTTAGATTCGAACTATATTATTAGTGATGTGCAACTAATTCTGTGTTAAAATGGCTTGCCAAATGTCTTACAAATACATTTTTAATATTGCTTTACCATAAAATAATGTAGTAAAAATAATTTGGTCTACTTATGTCGCATTTAATACGTTTTAGTGGTTAGGATCATATATATTTTAATGTTATTTTTCAAATAGTTAATAACAATGTATTTTTTATCTATTTTAAATGTTTTTTGGTACACAACTGTACAGCTGCAGTTTATCAGAATTTATTCTCAGTTATGTAGTTCGATCATCAGATAGATTCAGATTCATTTATTCATACTTTTTGTTTATCGCATTACTTGCTCCAATCACAAGTTTTTCTATGACACTTTCCCACGTTTTTATTATATCTAAAAAATAATAATCGTTAAAATAAATTTTCTAGTTATTTTCTCTAGGTACCTATTTAGATTTTCACCACGAAAGTCTGACTTAGAAATGTGTACTTGTCTTTGGACTTTTTTTCTTCATTTTAACTGTTAATAGTGCCATATTGTAATTGGAGTAGTTATATAGTTTAAATTGTTATGTCTTAATAAACCACAGTCAACTAGTTATTTTAATTCGTAACTTCGGTAATCTTAGTGTATTTTAACACCKGCTATAGAGTTTCTGGATAACTTACCGTAGACAAAACTATAATCATTATCTGATATCGCATTTGCGAAGTTCTAAYCATATCAATATCGTCGTGTTAGATAAATTGCAAAACTTGTTCTGAGATAAATTTGATTTATTTTCTTATCACTTAATTTCGATTCTATTGCATTTTTTTTCGTCGGTTCATTGTTTACAAAGTTAAGCGATATGATCCATTTCTAATCTTATAAAAGTTAAGCCATATTTTCGACATGATGTTCAACACTGTGCAAGTACAATGGTAAGTAATTAGTTTCTCTTTAGAACCGATAAACTATGTACAAATATTTGACATTGGAAAGACTTGGARGACATTATTTTATAATTAAATGTTAATTATATTTTGTGTCTTAGTTTGAAATGAGATTTTTGTTAATGGACATACATATATTTTATCTTTTGAGTTATAAGCACGTTGTGATATATGTTTCTATCTATATTTATTTTGTAATTATTTGTTTATAACTGCTGTTGTACAAATATTAAAATTTTATCATTTAATGCAGTTATATATTATAATCATTCCGTTAC